AGGATGAAAGGTGTGTAAATTATTATTACAGTGCTGAATTTGTAGCTTCACAATTGTTTCCATGGCTGCAGATTTTGATGTCTTAAGCCAGGATTATGAGAGTTGCCTGCAAAACACTCATGGCCAAAGACAACATTGTTTGCAATAAAAGGAACTCTTCATGCAAAATTTGGCATAAGGTATTTCACAAGTTCACCCAGTTCTGGATTAGGGGCCAGATTCACCACCATTATCAGTGGGTGCAACTCCATTTGGCCTCAGTGGAATTAGGCCCACGTATGCATGTGGCGAATTTGGTCCTGTGACTGCACTGTAGGATGAAACCGGTGTTGTGGGGAGAGAGATGTCACTGTTACGCAGGGGTGTGGGATGGTAGCAGAAGGGAAATAGAGAAGTATTGGTCAAGCAAATTCTTTATACTGACAGAAATTTATTTTTCTTTAAAGTCTCCTCCAGTGTGAAAGTTCTTCTTTGAAATGACCTCCTTATTCTCAGAGCTTAGAATAGGTGCGAAGTATTGTAAATGGGTTGTAGCTTCAATGGCTAACAGGAAATGGATCCTGCATTAATGAGAGCACTGCCAAGTTATTCTGGCCTCATAATGGGGACAAAGACCCTACTTCAGAGGAGTCGATCCCTATGCTGCTAAAGCACAAAGCATGTGCTTCATTTCAGGTGCTTTCTTCAGTCTCATTGACAGCAATGTGTTTCAGGGCTTTGCTGAGCAGGGACAGATTGAAATGCATGCTTAAGTGCTTTGCTGAAAAGGGACCGAATGGGGAATATGTAACAAGCACATCCCCAGCACAAGGATGTGGGCTAAGACTGCAGTCAAGATTCTGAGGCTAGGTCTACACTACAGCGGGGTTCCGACCTAAGATACGCAACTTCAGCTACGTGAATACCGTAGCTGAAGTTGCGTATTTTAGGTCGGCTTACCTGGTGGTGAGGACGGGGGAAAGCCGACCACTGCCGCCGACTCCGCTGCCGCCTCTTGTCGAGGTGGATTTCCGGAGTCGACGGCAGAGCGATCAGGGATCGATTTTACCGTGTCCTCACGAGACGCGGTAAGTCGATCCCCGATAAACCGATTGCTACCCGCCGGATCGGCGGGTAGTGAAGACGTAGCCTCAGCCCTGCCTAAGTTCCCTAAAGCTGCCTCAGACAAGCATCTGAGCCCTCCCCCTATGCAAGAGCAGTGCCAGGCCGTGGCCCAGGTGAAAGCATCAACCCTGCCCGGTTGTGCTAAATTTTTGACATGGAACTGCTGTCAATAACCACATCCACCTCTAGGTGTGCCCCTCGCCAGTTCCCCTGCAGCATCACTGCAAGGTGGATTGTGCACTACGGGTTTTCTGTCCTCTGGGAATGGGACTTTATAGCAGATCCCAATGCCCTCATCTGTCTGAGTGTGCGAGAGCAGCTGCCTGTGCCTGGTTAAGCATGGGATCAAAATGCTTTTTCACCGATTAATGGTCCAGGACCTTTGGGAAGCTGGAGTGGAGGGAACAATTCTGATTTGCACTACATGGCTGTGCAAGGGGGAAAAGGGGTTGTGAGAACTCCCTTTGGCCCACGCATGGGCTGCTTGGACTCTGGGTCCAAATGCATAAGAGCAAGCAGTGTTACTCTCTCCCTCCTTTTCTGGAGCAGGTGGCCTCGAATGCTCAGAGCCTTGGTTCTGCCGCTCCAACTTGCTGACCACAGTAGCAGAGCCAGCACACGGAGGGTGGCAAAGGGGGGAATTGGGACTCAAA